ACCGACTGCCGACTGAGGTAGTCCGCCTGCCAATTGTCCACCCCCGGAATGTAAACTGCCGAAAGGGCAAGAACCTGACTCTCTGCCCAGGAGAGAATTCCGGACACCTCTTGACCTGCGGCCACGCTTTGAGCCTCCATGGTGGTTGATGTATGCCACCGCATTGTCGGACTGAACCTGAAGCGACAAACCCTGAAGACGGTCCGACCAGTGAAGGAGGGAGAGGCGGATCGCCCGAAGGTCCAACACATTTATCGGCAGACGGGACTCGTCCCGCGACCACCGAGCCTGCACCGACAGGGAGCCCAGGACCCCCCCAAAGGCTGGCATCCGTCGTGACCACCGTCCAGCACCCGGGGAGGAAGGACATCCCCTGCAACAGGGCCGGAGAGCGCAGCCACCACTGCAGGGAGGCCCGCGCCACCCGAACTATCCTGTCCATGGAAAGGGGGGGCTTGTCCCACTGAACTAGAATGTCTCACTGCAGAGTCCTGGTGTGGTGCTGAGCAAAAGGCACCGCCTCGAAGGAGGCCACCATAAGACCCAGGACCTTCATGCAAAAACGAACGGACGACCACCGGCGAGTCCGTAATAGACGCACGTGGGAACGAAGTTGCAGGAGTTTGACCTGAGGGAGAAAAACCTGGGCCGCAACCGTGTCCAGAACCAGGCATAGATACTCCAGGCATGGAGAAGGCACCAGACAAGACTTACGGAGGTTTAGGAGCCATCGAACTCCTCCAGGGATCGCACCGTGACCTCCAGAGCCGTCACCAGAGAAGAATACGACTCCGCTCGCAGAAGCAGATCGTCCAGGTAGCCCACGATCGAAAAAACCCCCAACAACGCAACAGCGCCAGAATCGGGGCTAGCACCTTGGTGAACTCCCATGGTGCCGACGCCAGCCCGAAAGGCAGCACAACAAACTTAAATTGCTCCTCCCCCACCGCGAAACGAAGATATCGCTGATGAGACCCGCAAACGGGCACATGAAGGTAGGCATCGTTAAAATCGATGGAGGCCAGCAGATCTCCCGACAAAGCCAGGCTACCACGGACCGGATCGACTCCAACAGGAACCGGCGGACCCGCATAAAGGTGTTCAAACGTGTGAGGTCCAGGATGGGCCGAACCCCCTCTTGAGCACGGTAAACAGGTTGGAATAAAACTCCTTGAACCATTCCGC